CACAAATTATGGGGTAAACCTGAACTATTTAACACGGAATTGACCATGTCTTTCAAAGTTCGATTCTTTCTTCCTGCTACACCATTTTGTTGTGGTGTTTAAGGTGCCGTAGTTTGCTTGATTATACCATAACTTCACAAAATTCAGAAAGTGATGATGATTCATATTCACCAACTCTATCTAATCTAAGCACTTTTATTTTCCTCTCAAGTTGATTTTCAACTTCTGTCTTATATGTTTTGAAAACATCTAAAGTCTCATCTTTACTATGTAATAAATATACATAGCAATGTTTACTACAATAATCAATGAATGTGACAAAGTATCTCTTACCACCCCTCGTGGGAATACTTTTCAAGTCACATACATCACGGTGAATTAAATCAAGTAACTCATTACTTCTTTCCACAGATGGAAATGACTTTCTAGAAAACTTTGATTCAACACAAACTTCACATTTGTGTCTATTTTCAATGTTAAAGTTAGGCAATAGTCCTAAACTTACCATTCTTTGGTAAAGAATGATAATTGACATGCCCTAATCTAGAATGTCATACATCACACAACTCAACAATATAAGCAGAAGAGTTGTTATTTTTATTATTATTATTGGGCACTTGTGCCAGTACATTCAATTTAAACATATCATCATTCAAATAGCAATTTCCCCACATACATACCCCCTAGTCAGAATAAACTTATCTTACTCAAATACAAGTTTGAACCCATTTTTGTTAAGTAGAGTTCCTGACACAAGATTCTTTTGAATCTCTGGCACATGCCACATATCAGTGAGGGTAAGTATCTTTCCAGAAGTCCATTTCAACAGGACTTTTCCTCTACCTTCCACTGAGGCTATTGAAGCGTTTACCATGTACAGTTTATCACTATCATCTAGCTTCTCATAAGTGGTGAACAGCGATTTGTCCCCACAAACGTGCCTAATAGCACCAGTATCAATCCACCAGCCTTTAGTGTCAGAGGTCATATTTACCTTAGAGATGACAACAATTAAATCGTCATCTTCCATAGTGTTGGCCTGGTTGTTGGAGCTTTGTCCCTTCTTGTGTCTACAGTTTGCAGCTTTATGGCCACTTCTGCCACAAACCTAGCAGATTACACAAATGCGCTTGTTAGCGTCATTCATTGGCTCAAGATTCACATTCTTTGTCTTGGATTGATTCTTCTTGGGATGACGCCTTAAAGCTTCAGCAATATGTGCATTATCTTCAACTTTAGTGGCTTTTTGTCTCCCTTTCTGTTGTCCTTTTCAATGCGGAGTTTCAAAGTAAGATTCTCCATGGACAACTCCTTTCGCTTGTGTTTGAGATAACATTTGAATTTATCTCCAAGTAGGAGGCAATTTCTCAATCACAGTAGCAACTTGGAATGGTTCATTAATGACCAATCCTTCACTTTGCAAATCACTAATGATAATTTGCAATTCTTCGGTTGACTACCAATTTTGGTATCAACCATTTTATAATCTAAGAATTTTCCAAGAAGGAATTTCTTAGTACCAGCATCTTCCAACTTATACTTATTATCTAATGCCTCCCACAACGGCCTTGAAGTATCAAAGACATTGCAGTAGATATTATACAAGGTGTCATCTAGGCAACTCATAATGTAATTGCGACAAAGGAAGTCTGAATGCAACCATGCTTGCTTGGCAGCTTCAGTTTCAAGAGTGATTGCTTCTAGGGGAATAGTTTGACATACCTCCTTTAGGATGTGAGCAAGATTTAGGGTGGTAAGGTAGAAGCTCATCTTCTGTTGTCATCTTTTGAAGTTTTCTCCCTTGAACTTCTCTGATTTTTTAGCATGTGATTTGACAATGGTTGATCCCATCATCGTAGGACCATTGGTGGAAGTGTTTGCAGCCATGCTAATTGTCTTCAGAATGTTGGATAAATATACGATGCATATGTAAACTGAATAACACTGGTAAACAGATTACAACGTAATTGGCTACAACAATACACATTCAGACAACTTGATGAACACCACAAACTTGATTAAATTAATCGAGGCACGCTTCAATAGTGCTGACCTGAAGACAATTATTCGCTCTACACAAGTTGCTAGCAAACTACAGCGATCGTCTCAGCAGGATACAACGACTAACTCCGGTAGAACAGCAACCTCGAACTACTCGGATATGGCAGAACTCTTAGACACTTACTCTTAACACAAACAAAAACAAGAACAAGAACTCAAAAAGAAGAGAGAATTCTTGTGAGAGGAGGAGAATACTCAATTGAGGTATGCTTAGATATCTCAAAATGAACAAACCCACAACTATATATAGTTGTCCAAACATGTAACCTAATATACAAAATTAAACACATATGTAATCTTTTTGCATATATTACATATGTAACTTTAACATATATAAAGTTACAAATTAACAAAATAAAGAAACAACTTTTTCATTTAAATAAATAACTCCAAATTTAATATTAAAAGAAACAAAACCACAAACATATTCACAATGCATATGTAAATAAGTTTCTTTAAATTACATTTTCCTTCACACCTTTAAATCCAACACCCTCTTGCTAGGGGTGATTACAAAATTTGAGCTGAGTTACAGTTGATTCCATTTCTAAAATTTAGTAAACACTGTGAGAGAATGAAAAATTTGATTCTCATTCCCTTTTAAGTAAACAGAGACTATGTATTCATAAATTCATTACGTTCAAATTATGAATTCAAATTAAAAAATTTTCAATTTGTAACCAAAAGTGAAAATAAGGTGTTTGTTTTCACTTTCAATTGAATTCTTCATTTTTTGATATAAAAAAAAATTGGATTACAAATTGAATGAGGTAATATCTTAATAGTAAAATTGAAAATTTAAAACCATTATTGATGAAATTTAAAGATAGTGTCTATTTTACTAAATGATAATAACCTTAATTAAAATGTTTTTTTTATAGCAACCTTAAGTAAAATGTTAAAGGTTGGAATCCCTTTCTCCATATATTTTTTAAATTTTAAATAACTATACTAACAGATGATATTTTAGCCGTTCTACATATTTAATTAAACAACGTTTAGGTTAAATTATATTTTTAATCTCTATGCTCCAACTTTAATTTCAATTTATTCTCTATGCTTTTAAAAACTTAGTTGTCATCTATATGCTCGAGTTAAAACATATCATAAATCCCTATCATGGTCAAAACGAGCATAGCTTAGTGGTAATTAACATGTATCTCTAACTAAAAGATTGTGAATTCAATTCCCCACATATTGTACTAAAAAAAAATCCCTATCATGAGTGAAAATAACAAAATAATAATAATAATAATAATAATAATAAACAACGTTACAAGTTATTTAAGTCTTTTTCTACTTTTCAATGAAAATAATATCTTTTTAATACTGAAAGTAATGTTTTAAAATGGACTAAAACTCATGTTTTTAGACAAATTGATTTGTTTGACCTCTATGTTAATGTTACATCATTTATTTCATTTATCATATCAACAAATAATATGTTGGATTTTATGTTACTATTTTCTTAGTATAATAAACTTCCAACCTCAAAAAAGTAATTAGTGCATTATCCATCAAGGTATACTCATGTTGGTTTCGATTTTTGTTACTTCTCATCTCATTATCTGTACTTAAAGCTTAAAAGACAATAGAAAACCTTTTTTTAACTAAATATATGTTTTAGTCCCTCATACCTGAGTGTTTTTTCAAGTCAGTTCTTATTGTTTAAAAAATTTCAATTCAATCCCTTACCTTCTAAACATTTTCAATCAAATATATATTTTTTTGTATCGGTGAATGTTAAAATTGGTGGATGATAAACTTACCTGGCATAAATTTAGTGGAGAAATTAGATTATTTAGAAAGAGAAAAAAGTTGAAATTTTGACAACTCCTAAGATAAAATTAGAAAATTTTCTCCCTTAGTGACATAACTCACCCTCTAGTGTGAATTCACTAAACATCATGCAATATAAACCTATGAATTTAAGATTCACCAATAAAAATAATATAATAAAAAAACATTAAAATATTAGAGACGATAACAGATAATTTAGGGGAAATTAAAAAAAAAGTAAATAGGGATTAAAAAGTAGTTGAAGTTTTAACCTAGATTATAGATATTGTGATTAGAGGAAAAACTGCGTTTTGAACATAAAAGAAAAGCAAAGGGAAAGGGGGAGGAGGGTGTGTCTTAAAATGATCAAGTGCATAAAAAGAACCACAAATCTGTTGGGTGGAAGCCGAAGGCCCTCTTTTGTTTCTTTTTTCTGCACAACCCACGACGGGGAAAAACCAATTCCCTCTCCTTTTCTGATTCACGACAACAAACATTAGGTTTCCGCCGTGCCCGCCGCCGTGCCCGACCGGATTGCGTAACTCGACGGGACTGAGGAGGCACTCCAAAGCTGACCCCGGCCACCCTCTTCACCTCTGGTTCAGGTACTCTCTCTTGCTCTCAAGCTTCAGATTTCCCCAATCCCACTCTGCTTCAGCTCAATCAAGGTTCTAACTCCATTCTCTCTTCCTCTCCAAACCTAGCCACATGATTTCTGACTTTTCTCAACTGATTTAGTTGCTTTTCAATTCAATTTCTGCACTCCAATTCTCTGCTCATTTGATTCTCGAATTTTCTAGGTCTAACTTCCTTCGTATAACATGAAATAGTTCTTGTAATAAACACCCTTTGGTTACATTTCTGAACCCCAAGTGTTTTCTTTCTTTTTGCCCTGTAATGAATGTTGTATTGCGAACGAACATCTTAAGTGTAATAGCTAGGTTAAATGTTATTGAGTTTGTGTGGAGGTGTTTGGTTTGGAATCGTGTGTTCATGGAAAGGCTATTGTTGGAGAAACTCATCTGTTTTCTTCACCTCCCCAGAGACTGATGTAAAACAATTCCTGGCTCTCTGTAAATAGCTGCAAAATGGCCGTTGAGACTTTTGGTAAAGCAACAGTGTTTGATGATGATGATGATGAGGACGACCTTCCAATAGTTTTCAAGAGGACTAGCACATCTAGGCAAAATCAGTTAGATTCGGCAGTTAAGCATGCACAACCTCAGCGGTTGAATAAGTTATCTGCGAGGCAGACCTCTGATTTATGTTCAGCCAATGGTCAAAGCTCTAATGCTCAAAAAAGGATGACTTCGTTGCCGAAGACATCGCCTGTGAAATCTGTAGTAGCAAGTCAGAAGGCATCAAATTCCTCTATCCAGGAACCATCTGTTAAATCACCAGACACAACTTTAAAAGTTTCAGATTCAATGGATAGGCCAAAACATTCAATAAATGCTGCCGTGAAAGAGGAAAATGATTCTGTACGTCCTACTCAAGAAAATAGTGATTCTGAAGATGATAAACCATTGAGTTTTAGATTGAAAGGGAACTCCAGCCAGCCCAGTAAAGGGCTTGTACCAACAATGTCAAAGAATAAAGTAAAAAAACCACCAGCAGATTCAGATGATGAAATTAATTTGGCATCGAGATTTCAAATCAAGTCTGCTTCAGGGGTATCTGGTGGTAAACAACATGGTTTTGATGAAAAGAAACCACTGGCTTCAAAAGTTCATCAGAATGGTTCGACCTCAAGGGATAAGCTGCAAAAGCCTGCTACTGTTTCCAGCAAGAGACCTCTTGCTAATGCAGATTCCCATCCCTCTTCTCAATCTTCAACAAAAAAGCCAAAGCTTTCTGACTTATCTACTCCGCTTAGTACTAAGCAAGTATCATTGAAAGCAAAACAAGAAGCAGATGACGACGACGATGATATTCCTATTTCACAAAGAATAAAGAAGTCATCTACATCAGTAAATAAGTCATCAAGTTCTAAGCAAACAGTAACAAAAGTTGCTTCTTCTTCAATCAAGAAAACATTCAAGAAATCAAAAAAACAAGTTAAGAAATCCAAGTATGTTAAGTCAACTAAGTTGCTGCCTAGCGCTGGTGATGGACAGAAAAAATGGACTACCTTGGTTCACAATGGTGTCATTTTCCCACCTCCATACCAGACTCATGGGGTGAAGATGCTCTACAAAGGGAAGCCTATTGATTTGACTCCTGAACAAGAGGAGGTATGCCCCACCTCACGTGTTGCACACACAAACATGTTTCACTCTTTCTCTGTAATATTTGATTTTCTATCTTTGTGTGTTATTTATCTAATGTATAGTTCATGTTTACCAATGAATTGAGGTTAATTATTTGGGATGTGATTTTTTTTTTTGTTATCAGGTTGCAACCATGTTTGCTGTGATGAAGGATACAGATTATATGCTAAAACCTAAATTTAAAGAAAATTTCTGGAATGACTGGCGCAAAGTACTTGGGAGAAATCATGTAATTCAGAATTTGGATGATTGTGATTTTACCCCAATATATGACTGGTATCAGAAAGAAAAGGACAAGAAAAAACAGATGACTGCAGAAGTAAGTTCATGATGTTTCAATCTTCCTGATTGTTATATACCTTGTCATCATCTACTATTTTGATGCAAACCTTGTGTCTCTTAAGTTTCCATTTACATTTTAATTAGCAAAACCTAAGAAGGTGGATGTTTCCAATTAAACAGAATGACTGGTCTCGTTTCCAAATTTACGATTTTTTTTGTGTCTGGTCTATTTTTTGGGTTTTTGGAAATCCATCCTTTGTTTTATATTTTAATATATTTTGCTTGTGATTTTCCTTTAATTTCAATTTGTAGGTTTTTGTGACATGTTAATCCATTACTCTATTTATTATTCCGTACCGTTTTGGGCTGCCATTTAATGTCAAACCATAATAGTCTTGTCTTTACTTCTATCCGATATGTAATATGTTTTCATAATTCAAATTAATTTGTTTCTTTTCTAATTAAGAATGAACTTGATGCATATTGTAAAAATTGTCATCACTAATTGATCGATCTGCAATTTAGTATGAACTATTTAAGTTAACTATGAGTTTTGTGCCTTTTTCATGCATTCAGTTTTATTAATTTTGGTTTCACATTTCTGTAATTTGTTTGTCCAGGAGAAGAAAGCTTTGAAGGAGGAGAAACTGAAACAGGAGGAAAAGTACATGTGGGCTATTCTTGATGGGGTTAAGGAGAAGGTTATTCTCATTTACCTTTTTCTGCTTGATTTTTTGAGGAAGCTAATCTTGAGGATATTCTTTTTCACTTTAACAACCTTCCATCATTGATCTTTTACAATGTACTCAACCTTAGAGCACTGAACTAATGTTGCTCGGTTTAATGATTCTGTGATAGACTTGTTGCATTTTACAATAAACACTAATTGGAAATTGGCCCCAACCGAGGGCCTATAATTAATTTTTATTTTTTTGGGGTTAATTTCACTTGACTTCTTTTAGTTATTGGAGTATTGAAACCAACCATGCAGCCACGCAATTGTACACACTAGAGGACAAAATTTTGATTTCAAGTACTTGGTTTTGAAGTGAGAGGAATTCTGTTATGTTGTCAACTGTACTCTAGAAAGCAAATGAGAAACTTCGCCCAGTTCTACTGTCTAGAAAGTTGAAATGCTTGATTAACTACAATGCAGGTTGTCATATGTTAAGATAATTGTACGCATATGTCTGCTTCATACTAAATTACTAAATTCATGTCATAGTTGATATTATGCACTTCTCAAAGTTCATCATACCCATCTATTTTGTGTCTTTATCTACGACTTTACCCATTAAATCATTTCAATAGAGCATTTACACGCATTTTTTATTCTTAATATGGATCCCAGGTTGGGAACTTTAGAGTTGAACCGCCTGGATTGTTCCGAGGCCGTGGAGAACATCCAAAGGTACCGTGTTTAGAATTCAGAAAGCTGTTTCATATTTTCTAGCATTTATAACACAACTCAGTTAATTTTTCAAGGTACTCCGTGGGAGTATGAGTAGATGTTTTGATATTTGGTTGTTCATAATTCACCCTTATCTGGATATTGTTTCTTGATTCGTCTGTTAAAGCCTGGTTGTCTTTACAGATGGGAAAGCTGAAAAAACGCATTCGCCCAAGTGACATCACAATTAATATTGGAAAAGATGCTCCGATCCCCGAATGTCCTATACCTGGTGAAAGGTTTGGTTGTTCTTTACACCACCTGAAATAAATTGAGGTCATCTTATTGTGGACTGTGGAGTTAGGGTCTTCTAGAAATTTATGAGACACATGCCTAAACTGTTTAAGAATTCTTGGTTTTATCATTTTTATTTTTTTCATTCAATATTGGGTTCTTTGGCAGGTGGAAGGAAGTGAGGCATGACAATACTGTTACGTGGTTGGCTTTCTGGAACGATCCAATAAATCCAAAAGAGTTCAAGTATGTGTTTCTGGCTGCTAGTAGTTCATTAAAAGGCCAGAGTGACAAGGAGAAATACGAGAAAGCAAGAGTGCTCAAGGTGTGCTATTCCATTATAAATTTGTAGTTTTTTGTTGAAGATTTAGTAGTAGGGAATCATCATCGTCTGTTGAAACCTTGATCTTTTGTGTAGGACTACATAAAAGACATAAGGAGTGCATATACGAAGGATTTTACAAGCAAAGACTCTACACGAAGACAAATTGCAGTTGCTACTTATCTCATTGATAAACTGGCGCTTAGGGCTGGAAATGAGAAAGTAATGTTATCAAGCCTATTTATGTTTCCCATGCATGCTACGTTTATGGTATTCAAACGTTTTGATCTGGAAGAGTTATAAAGTAGTTGATCCCTACTGCAGGATGATGATGAAGCTGATACAGTTGGCTGCTGTACACTGAAAGTAGAGAATGTAAAAGCGACGCCTCCAAATCTTCTGGAGGTAAGTATCTTTCAGCTTATTGAAATAGGAGCTTGAGAGTTGAGAGGTACCTTGTTTATAGTGCCCTCAAGAGATGACCGGTTGACTTGTTAAATTCAGTTCAACTTCCTCGGTAAAGATTCAATCAAATATGAAAACACTGTTGAGGTCGAGCTCCCTGTTTTTAAAGCAATTATGCAATTTCAAACTGGTGAGCTTGTCTGTTTGTTCGGTTCCTTTTTTATTTTTTATTTTTTCATTCGACAATGCATTATGCCATGACTGAGGCTGTAGTGTATTTTACTTGCTTTAGGAAAAAATGGAAGTGATGATCTTTTTGACAAGCTGGATACGAATAAATTGAATGCTCACCTGAAGAATCTCATGCCTGGTCTCACAGCGAAAGTATTTCGTACATATAATGCTTCTATCACACTTGATGACATGGTAAAATATATTTGGAGAATCAGTTTTTTATTCTTCCCATAATTTGTTGGTTTTAAATGTACCTGGAACTGACTGTGAGTTCAAAATTTGTTGTAATCTACGGCAGTAAATACAGTTATTCTTTTGAGAATAACTCTTAAGATGTTCGATATTTAGGCATGGGTCTACAGAATTTGGTTCCACAATCCCATGCTTTTCAATCCAAATATAGGAATCTCATTTGCTCAAATCTTATTCCCAGGTTTCCCATTTTCAGGCTCAATCCTAGTGCAAATTAAAATTTCTCTCTTATTCTCAAGCTTCCTATTCTGACAACAGCATACCAAATGCCTCTTAAAGTTCTCAAGACTATTGCAGTGGTGAACATCCGTGGGGCATTCATGCATTTGGGAAGAGACGAGTAACTATAGAATTTTTTGGGATAGGAATAGCGTCATATATCAAGTTTGGGTATCATATGTTTCAACGTTTATACTTCAGTTCAGCCGTCGGTGGAAAATCATTTTTCTTATCTAGCTTCCATAAACTATTTATTTGATGGTTCTTCAGAATCTGAATGAAGAGTGACAATGAAAAATATTTTCCTTAATGTGAACACACTCCAGATAGGGCTTTCGATGTCGTTGGTTTAGGCTAAGTTGACGTGAATCATTATGCTCCTTTTCTAAGATGACTCGTTTACTTATGTGGTTTTCCTTCTCTCTACTTATATGTGATTAGATTATTAATTAGATTATTTCTGGCGTGATCCATGATAGTTGAATAGAGGAACTAAAGATGGAGATGTTTCAGAGAAGATTGTCACTTACCAGCACGCAAACAAGGAGGTAAATTCAGTTCCTCTTTTTGTGGGTTTTGGTAGACTAATTTCATGCCATTGACTGATCATCTTCGCTGCCAACTACAGGTTGCAATCATTTGTAATCATCAGCGGACTGTTTCGAAATCTCATGGGGCACAGATGTCGAGATTGAATGAGAAGATATCTGAGCTTAGGGTAATAACCATATTATTTACTCGTGGTTGACCTTGGTTAGCTGCTCTACGGGAATCAAAATGTCATTTAGTATATCATGTTCTCCAATTTTGAGTTCTCTGTGTAGTACTCATAATAGCAATTGAAAATAATACTGCAGTGCTAGTACACTTTCTGTAGTTGGACACTAGTGCATTTAGCTGATCCATCATTTGTTCTGCAGGACCTTCTGAAAGAGCTGAAAATCGATTTAGATAGAGCAAAGAAAGGGAAGCCCCCTTTAAAAGATGCTGACGGAAAGCAAAAGAGAAACTTGTCCCCTGAAGCGTAAACTGCTTGATTTACTTTAAACCCCACCCTCCATTGACATCTTCGTTAGTAGTTTTTATGCTTTTGTGTTCTCGTGGCACAGGTTAGAGAAGAAGATATCCCAAACAAATGCAAAGATTGAGAAGATAGAGCGAGATATGAAGACTAAAGAGGATTTGAAAACCGTTGCGTTGGGCACGTCAAAAATCAATTACCTCGATCCTCGAATCACAGTCGCATGGTGCAAGCGTCACGAAGTCCCTATTGAAAAGGTGAGCAAACAAGCCTTTGATGGTCGCGGTTTGACAGTTTGAGTCCCATTCTTTTGCTGTGTATATATTCTTTTTCATCAATTTTCCACTCTTTATTGTGCTGACTGCCTCCACAGATATTCAACAAGTCTCTTCTGGCGAAGTTTGCGTGGGCAATGGATGTCGATCCCGACTTCAGATTCTGATTGTTTGTCTATATTGTGGCGGTTTCAAATCATCCTCAGCCTGCCCACCGTGCAGCATCGGAAGAAAAATAAGAAAGAAAGAAAGAAGAGATGGAGTAGGAAAAATTGAAGTGTACTATTTTGCATTACATTCAATTTTTTCTTTAGTTCCTTCCAGAGGAAAGGCCAATGATGTATGGTTATCTAATCTAATTATATTGGGGTAAATGGCTCATTTCTGACACTCCCCATCCATCCCCACCAAGCTGTGCAATGAAAACATTTGGTTATCAAAGCTTTCAAACAGCCTTATACTAATTGTTGAACATTTTAACACATACCCTTATAAATTTGATTATACCTGGTTTTTCTCAACTCTCTCTTTTACATTTTCCTTGGCCTGTTGCACCCCTTTTTTCTTTTTAAATCTTGTTTGTTTTCTTTTTTAGCCTTATAGTATCAATTTTCATTAAATATTGCTGTTCTTCTTTGTTTGGAGGGTAATTCCTCTAAATGAGATTCATGGATCGACATGTACTAATAAGTTAATAGACAGATCTTCAAAATATTATTTATTTACCAATTTTGTACGCAACTTTTTAGATAAAATAAAATGACCGGACGGCGGTACCAGTACCACTAAACCATTGCCGTCCAAGTCGAGATGATATATTAAAACTATTTTGTTATTAATCAATATATAAATATTTTTAAAATATTATCTAAAATGAAAAAAAAAATTTAAAAGAAAAAAATCAAAAGGAAGGATTAAGATTAAGGAACTCTGTGCCACGCCAACTGCCAAGCCAATCCATAATCCACGAAAACAAGACAGCGGAATGAGAATGAGAAAGCGAAAACGACGTAGTTTTGTGGATGTTCCCCATTCATAGTGTTGCGAAGAATCTTGTCGAGAACGTCGACGGCGCCGCGGTCAATACGACGTTGATCCGATTCAACTCATATTGGACCACAATTCGTATTCTCCAGCAGGTGAATTTCCAGTTCTTCAGATTTTCACTTCCTTTCACCTTTAATTCTGCTTCGTCTACGATGTTTAATTGTTCCGGGCTGGGTTCCAACTTCTCTGGATTTTCTTTTTAAGCCTCCGTCTTCTTCATTTTTCCACATCAATTTCTGGAAACTGCCCCATATTGAATTGGATTGTGGAACCTCTTGCGGTTGCTTATCCGATTTACGCACCCTTGTATTTCCGATATATCGGATTAGATTTTTCCGGCAGACCGTTATTTAGTTTGCTTCATTGTTTTTGGTTTTGTTTCTTCTGGTAAAATGAACGAGGGAAGTAAAATTGTTCTTCTGGTTTCGTGATATCAATTTGAGATAGATTGTTACTATTCATTGCAATATTTGATTAGGTCATTGGTAACTTCTAACTTCTCATTACAAAGCTTTTATGCCCGTTGGGTAACATTATCGTTTCTTGTTTCTTATATCCATGGATTCAAGAATCGATAAAACAATATTTTTATTTATGCTTTAGAGTAAATTGGAAATGAGGAAGAATCATGAAACTTGTTTTTGTTTCCAAAATTTCTATACAATTTTGAGAATGTTTTTAAAAGAAATTGAGAAACCGGAGACATAAATAGCTGCTAAATGTTTAGGTCTCTTAATAAAATTGAAAACGAGAAACATGAAACGGAAACGTTATCAAACAGGCTCTTAGTTGCTTGATTTCATAAAGATCATAGTTTATACATTGAATATTGATTGTAGGAATATAATATTTCCGACTCTAATGAGGATCAGAGTCCAATTTATTGCCATTGATCTATCTCTACTTGTCAGGCCGGTGATGGCATCTTCTGATTTATGGATAAAGGAATATAATGAAGCCTCTAAGCTTGGCGATGATATCAATGGCATGATTTCTGAAAGGAGCTCCCTTCCTGCAACTGGACCAGAAGCCCAGCGTCATGCCTCTGCCATTCGGAGGAAGATCACTATTTTGGGGACTAATGTGATGTTGGATATCCCGCAATGGAGGTAAAGACTCTGGTGGATTAAGGAGGTCAGGAAAGGTGGATAAGATTTGATCAACCTCCGGTGGTATGGGAGAAGTAGTAATAGTATCTGAACTATCAAAGCTTTTTATTATCAAATTCAAAATAGGAGCAGATTGTTGAAACAGAAGTTGTTTTGCATTGCAAATGTGAAAAAGATTGCCTCTGTCCACATTTTTTGAATTTGTAGGGCTGGTTAGAGGGAGTAGAACCACTGTTTTCCCCATCCATGTAAATTCATATGTGTTTTCACGACCCCTATGGATGGCCTGAGTATCAAATTGCCAAGGACGTCCCAAAAGGATGTGACAAACATCCATATCGAGTACGTCACATGTAATTTGATCCTTGTAGCTTGTCCCAATGGATAAGGGAATAGTACACAGGGTATTAACCAGGGCCTCACCACCCTTTCGGATCCAACTGATCTTGTATGGCGTGGGGTGGGGGGAAACTTTGAGGTTTAAGCTTGAAACCAGCTTACTAGAAACGACATTTTCTGTACTGCCACTGTCAATGATAATAGTACAAACCTTACCAT